GAGAGAGAGAGAGAGAGAGAGAGAGAGAGAGAGAGAGAGAGAGAGAGACTGCATCAGGATTTCCTTTCAGGGAAAATGATCTGGAGAGAGATGATGGTCATACTGAGTGGATTTAATGGTACTGAATTATATATTTAAAATGTTTCATTTGTTTTGTGCCATTAAATATATATATACATACAAATGTGTATATATATGTATGTATATATATAATACACACAGACACAGAAGCAATGAGTTTCAGCACCCAATAAACTCAATCATCCAGTTCCATGGAGGTCTGTCAGTTTAGACAACTGTATGATTCTGGGTTGGTGGTTGTGCCACAGGCTTCCCAAGTCTGTAATTTCTTCCTGTCGCAGCACCATCAGCAGCTCCTTCATCATCTCATCTTTTCTGTGTGACTTGGAAAGATTAATCTAGACTATTTCAACCTGTCTAAACAATTTTATAATCACATCTATTTAAATAGCAAGAGATGATTATGTTCATTCCACCTCAACCATAACTAGTCAGAGATGCTTACAGTCATTCAACAAATTGTTATGTAGAGTCTAAATATACAGATGGATACAAGAATTGTGGGCTGGAATGGGGCGAAGGCAGTGTCCCACAAACCTAATCATTTTGAGTTCTGAGGTTCCTATATCCCACGGCCTAAGATATTCCCAAAGTACCTTTGAGGGAATTTAGAACTCCAAATCATAGCACAAAAGTTTGGGGTTTTTGTCTTTCTGTCTGTTAACTAAACACAGGCCATCAAGTTTTAGCAACTGTTAAAATGAAGTACCCTGTCTCCCTGGTGTGCATGTGTATCTAACCACAAGATACGTGATAAAGAGATAAAGGCAAGTTGTCACAAGCCCAAAACAGAAATAATAAATGCTGGTCTTGGAGCTTCCAGACCATGATTGTTATCAAAGGTGCGGCATTCTGTGGGGTTGTGCCTGCCCACTGCATATACACCTACCACTTCCTGCCAAGTACGTGACGTGGCCACACTTTGAAGAACCCTTCATTGCTGGCTAGTCTGCCCCTAAGGACAGCTCAGAAAGATAGCTTCCTCTGACTCTCCAGGTTGAAAGATGTGTTTCCAGTATTTCTGGCATATTGAGAGCCACCAGAGAAGTTTCACCCTCTCCCTGCCTAGTGCAGAATCCTGGGAGGGAATGCAAGGTGACAATGTGATCAGGCACCACATGTGCTGGCCACTTGGACACAAGCAGCACATGGGTTCTGGCAGATCATGCCTGAGCTTTCTTTGTTCAAGTTGGCTTTTATAAGGTTTTTCCAAGCTGCCCCATGTGGAATTTTCTACCTAGGTAAGAGTCTGTTGCTGGAGGGGTTACCAAGGGGGTAAAGTTGGGATTGGTTGATGCTCTTCTGTGAAATTTCTTTCCTTATCCTTTGTTCCTCCTGGATCTTCTGTGGGAGGAAGGTCCAGCCTTCTCTCAGTATGTTTGTGCCAGGTAAGATCTCATCGGGCCTTAAGTTTCTGTGCTCACAAGGTGAGTCCTGATAGCCTGGAGTCTATTGGTTTTATTATTTCCCAAGGAATCCAATTGCCATGGCGCCCTTTCCAACCTACCTGTATGCCTCAGGTGCGTATCAATGAAGAGACCAAGGGACTTAAATTTTAAAGTAAGTGAAAAAATATCAAGAGACATTTATAAAATAGAGGTACAAATCAAATAATTTATTAATGGATTTTAATGCATTTGGGCTGGATCGATAGCACAGCAGGTCGGGCATTTGCCTTGCATGCGGCCGACCCAGGTTCGATTCCTTTGTCCCTCTCTGAGAGCCCAGCAAGCTACGGAGAGTATTCTGCCCGCATGCAGAGCCTGGCAAGCTCCCCGTGGTGTATTCGATAAGCCAAAAACAGTAACAACAAGTCTCACAATGGAGACGTTACTGGTGCTCACTCGAGCAAATCGATGAACAATGGGAGGACAGTGCTATAGTGCTTTAATGCATTTTAAGTATCCTAAATCACACAATATAATATGTACATTCAATACATTTAAACAAAATATATTTCATGGCATAAAAAATAGAAAAAATATTTCTATCTATTAAAGAATGAATATAACAATAAAACTACCTTGATCATATATTTTCACTAAAGATTTTTAGATAAAAGATAAATTAAGATTAAACTATTCTTATCTGAAATTATTTTATTCTTTTTAATTTTTTTTAAAAATTAAAGAACCATGACATTCTCTCTCTTTTCTCTTGTCCTTCAACTAGCACACAAAATTAAGCTCTATGAAAATTAAATCTCTTTTTTACACTAAAATCTAATAAAAATTTTATTACTCATTAGTTTTCAGCAATATCTACATATATACAACAGCCATATAAGAGTCTAAGCTGGAGGGCTTTGGGAAACATTCACGATGTAACTATACTGGTCTTACAAACGTGGCCAACTTTTAAATTTTCTGGCCGTTATTTGTCATTCACTTAGTGATTGATTTTCATGCTGCTAATGTTCTGGAAAGGGCCAAGTAATGGGTTTCTTTTCCTTCTTTCCTTCCTTCCTTCCTTCCTTCCTTCCTTCCTTCCTCCCTCCCCCCCTCCCTCCCTCCCTCGCTCCCTCCCTCCCTCGCTCCCTTCCTCCCTTCTTCCTTCCTTCCTTCCTTCCTTCCTTCCTTCCTTCCTTCCTTCCTTCCTTCCTTCCTTCTCTTTCTTTCTTCCTTCTTTCCTTCCTTCCTTCCTTCCTTTCTTTCTTTCTTTCTTTCTTTCTTTCTTTCTTTCTTTCTTTCTTGTTGTAGGTGATGCTCAGAGGTTACTCCTTGCTCTGCAGTCAGGAATCACTCCTGATGTTGCTCAGAAGAACCATATGGAATGCCAATGTAAGCCACATGCAAGGCAAGTAATTGCCTGCTATGCTATCTCTCTGGCCCATAGGGGCTCATTTTAAAGACACAATTCTGAAGTGAAAAGTAGCATAACTTCCATGAAGAAATATCTTTTTCCCTACTGATATGCTTCTGGCTACAAACAATCACTGTGATCTGCTGCCAACCACTAGCCAAAGTAAATGATTATCAATAGTAAGTCATAATAGCTACACAATGTTAATTTAAGTCTACTTCAAGAACTATTCTAATTAGTTTATTCTTTGTATTATTATTTTTATTTTATTTATATATCCAGCCCCCTAAAAAGTATGCATATTTACAATAAGTTCTAAACTTACAAGTGAGAAAACTGCCACAGAGATGTTAAAAACTTTTTGAGGTCCCAGAAGCAGCAAACTCAGAACTAGAGCTAAAGCATATTGACTACCAAGTATATACGTTTAACTACTGTAACACACTGTTTTCATTTCAAATCTGTACTTTTGGTGTTTTCATATTTTTTTATATTATCTGTAGGCACCACACCTGACAGTGTTCCAGGGGTCATGTGGGCCCAGCGATCAAACATAGGAACTCACATAGGCAAACTCTGTGCTCTACAACTTCAATTACATCCCAGTCCCCAAATGTAATTTTTGTTTTATTTTTATATTTTGGAAAGCAAGCAAGTACCTTATCATTTCTCTGGCTAATCAACTGGCACTGGTTTTGCATATAAAGATTTATGTGTAATCAACATGTTTTAGGTCATTAATAAAAGCACTACAGTTTGTTTGAATTAAAGTGGCATCTCTTCTAAAAGCTAAACATTGTTTGAATTTCCCTTCTAAGAAGGTTTCAAGAACAGGCTGAATGAACCAAACTCTCTTACAGTGCCTATAACTGCTTTTGGGTGTATGACAGTCATGTCCTGGTGCTGAAGGCTTATCACAGAAGTCTTCCACATTCATAGTCCCACTGGCAATGTCCTACATCTGGAACATTGTCCTTGACATCCCAAGTAAGATGGTTATTGTGGGAAAATGAAGGCACGTCGCCATTGCTGTTTCATGGAAAGTGCTACTTCGTGAATTTAAGATCCTTTAGTTCAGTGGAGAACCTGGCAGGCTACCCAAAGTATCCTGCCCACACAGCAGAGTCTGGCAAACTCCCCGTGACGTATTCAATATGCCAAAAACCAGTAACAATGATAAGTCTCATTCTCCTGACCCTGAAAGAGTCTCGAATGTGGCACTTTTTAAAATCTCAGGGCTAGGACGAAGGAGACGTTACTGGGGCCTGCTCAAGGCAATTGATGAACAACAGGAAGACAGTGATACAGTGATAGTTCAGTGGTTAGCATCAAAACTTCAGAAATATGTCCCATTTTGTACGGCTTATTATTTTTCATTCTGTCCAGTCTCAAAGTTGCTAAATCTGGCTGTGATCTTTGGAAATCTTTGCATCCAGCTATGGGAAAACATTAGTTCCATTTCTCTTCAATTCCCTGGTCTTCGCAGAACATGTTATTCTAAGTGAATGTTTAGTCTTTACTGTTGTGCTGTTAGTGGTTTTTTGTTGTTGTTGTTGTTGTTTGTTTGTTTTTTGGTGGTAGGGAAGAAGTACACATTCAGGACCTGCACCTGGCTCTGCACTCAGGGATTACCCTAGTGGGGATTGGGAAATTATATGTGGTAGTGGGATTTGATCTTAGGTCAGCTGCACTCAAGCAATTGCCTTATCCATCCCAGTATCTCTACAGCCCCTTTTTTCTTTTTTGGGGGGGGGAGTGTTTTTTTTTTTCATTTTTGGATCCATACCTGATGGTATTCAAGGCTTATTCATGGTTCTAACCCAGGATTCACTCATGGAAGTTTAGAGGACCACATAGGATGCTGGGGTTTGAACTGAGGCTGAACTTGTGCAAGACAAGTGTCCTACTTGATGTACTATTTCTCCAGAACCTTGTTTGTTTGGGGAGCCAGTGTTTAGTCTTACCTCTGACAACTGCATGACAGGTTTCATCTTTAATCTGTAATATTGTATAGGCTTAAATAAATGGAATAATGTCTTTGTTATTAAATAGGCACACTTATTCAGTTGTTGCATATCAGATTTCTTTGGTATACTGAGTTTCTCTGAAGTTCAGGATTATGAAAAAAAAGGGAAAAAATCTTCATCTTTGCATGGCTTGATTGCCTTTGCAGGCATCAGGTAGAGAAGATTCTTCCAGAACCTTGAGTTGTAACTTGGAGGTTTATCAGTCTTCCACTTCAGAATTCTGTGAGATTTCAAAAGCTCTAGTGATCGTGGCAAGAATGTGAAGTCACTGACAGATGAACATTTAATTAGAATTATTTTGATTTTCCGTTCTACCAGTGCTTCATGAATTCCACTTTCCAATTCATACCTGACTTCATTAGACATGTAACTTTTACTTAGGACAATGATTAGTCTTCGACTATTTTCTATCAATGAGTGGATTTCATCAACAATAGCTGAAAAGGGTAAGATAAGGCATATAAATTAGAGAGCTGGAAGGAAGTGGGCATGAGTTAAAAAATGTTTTATGTATGTTAATTGATCATCATAAGGAACCAACGAAGAAGTTATTGTGATCCTCCTAATTTTATAGAGTACCTCTGTTCAAAACACTGCATGACTAAGCAGCTTAAACAGAATCCTACAGCCAGCAAATACAAAATTTGTGTGAACCCATGTGGTCTAGTTCTGCATAATCCTAACCATGAGGTTATCACACTAGTCTGTATGAGTGGAAGAGTATGCTAAAGTCATAATTCTAAGAAAAATATATTGCTCCTATTATAGACCAGATATTGAACACATCATTTTTTGCATTTTTGCAAAAGGCCAGATAAATGCTTTAGGTTGTGTGAGTTATTGTGATTATTGTCATAATCACTCAGTTTAGCTGACATAATTTTAAAAAGTAGACACAGGAAACATGTAAACAAATGATTTTGATCAAGTTTCACTCATAGAGGCAGGTTGGAACTGACTCATGAACAAGTAGATGGTCAAATTCTGTTCCAGATCTCTAACCCTTCCCAGAGAGAAGTTTTAGCCTAAGAGGAAAAATGACTTAAAAATTTTAAAATCAGAATAATAGTCAATGAAAACCTAAACAAAAAAATGCTTTTTTAGTGACAGAATACCTTCTTATAAATGACACTCAATAATATTAATCATTTAACTTTTTTTCTCTAATATGTGTGTCTTCATACTCTAGTTTATAGTTTAGGTGGAAAATATGGCTCTTTATTTTCCACTTATGTGATCTTCAATGCTCAGATCAGAAGGTAGCACTAGGATACTCACAATAAAATTTGGATGGAAAAATGATGGCAATAATAAAAATATTTGTATTTCATTGTACTGTATCAACAGCAACTTCAGAGAAAAGTTGGAAATGTTACTAAATTTATTTGATTATTACTGTCACTTGTGTCATTATGTGTGATAGCTATTTTTATTCATGTATGAATACAATGAATTCCATAACTATAATCTGATAATGAACCACCAATTTTCTTTTAACATTCTTTTCCAACTCTTCGATTTTCTCCTTTAATTTCATTTTGTTTTTATTTCGGGGCCACACCTGCTAATGCTTAGTGCTTACTCCTGGCTCTGTACTCAGGAATTACTCCTGGCAATGCTTGGTGGATCATATGGGATTCCTAGGATTGAATCCAGGTCAGCTTTATGCTAGGCAAACACGCTACCTGCTATACTATTCCCCCACCAATTTTCTCCTTTAATTTTTTCACTAGTGACAACTCAATTAGGAGCAAGAAATTTCTGCTAAGGATTAATCTTTTTATAGCCTAAAAGATTGTGATTTAAATAAAAGCTTTTTCTGTTGTACAAAAATACCATCCACAGAGGGATTCTTATTCACGATGAGGCATTTCTAGATCCATGTCTCATTATGGTGCCAGTTTTGGAGCTGATTCCGTCAAGGAAATGCCTACTCCTTTCCCCACATTTCAGAGAATCAAGAAGCAGAACAAAAAGCCAAAAAGCCTTGGTTGTAGAGAAAGCATTCTTGCAAGTAACTGGCTTAATTTCTCATCATTGATTAATAGAATTTTATGCTTAGGCTAGACTGTTCTGTTTTAGTGGACCATGTTTATTTGCTTATTATCTGTGTTATCTTTCCTTTCTTACCTTTTCCAGGTACTACATCCCTTTCAAATATGCATAACTTATACCCAAAATGTTTCTCCAACACCCTGGGTAAAATCTCCACAGCAAAGGAGTGTGCTTCTTCATTCTCAGCTTGACATTCTTTTAGGTAAGACACAAAAGCATCATATTTTTTTCCATCTAGGAGACAAGATTACTGTTTTAATATGTATGTGAATAAAAGTTTTCTGTGATTTTGTAGAAATGAAACCATGATATGAATGGATGTTTGGAACTGCAGGAAGTTGATTAAAAGAGTTCTTTTCAAATTCAAATTCAGTGTGATGGTTATTAATTAAAATAAATTTCTTTAGTTTTTTTTATTCCAATAGTCATCTAACAATACTAAACAAATTCTTGAAGATGGAAGAAATATAAAATTTTTATAAACGTTTAAAATTTTGTACCTATATCTTAACATCTGCTTTTTTTCATAACCAACTCTGTGGTTCACACACGGAGATTAGTGAATTTAGATCACACCTCTAAGTATCTCTAAATGTCAAATGTCTCTAAATCCCAGTACATCTCCATATTGAGAAAAAAATATAGGAATTGAAAATATTATCTGTGAATCTGACAAAACACATCTAATTATAAAACAGATGTGTTTTCTACTGCACTAAGGATCCAGGGTAGGCTAAATACACCTGAAGAAAAAACTATCTTAAATGAAAATAAAAAAGAGAAGTATACATTTCTAAAAATAGGAATGGACCCATTTTGAGACATATACAGGTCTCCACAGTAGAGAAACATTCACAATATGTCAAATACACACCTTTCTTCAATAAACTTCCATTTATATTGCAAAATTACACACACGAAAGTTAAATTAACTTCATAAATTTTATAATAAAAAAGCCAAATGTTCTAAGTGCAAATAATGAATTTATAAACGTTCTAAAAGAAAATATATTAGAATTTCTTTATGAGTTAAGGTTAATAAGGCTTTTTAGCTTATAGAGCAAATTCAGAAAAAAATAAACAAGTACATTAGTCTTCCACATTATTATAAGCTTATGGTAAATCTATGCAATTTTATTTGAAAAAATTTTTCTACATGGGCCAGAGAAGCACTGGTTTTCTAAGAAGCCTACAGGTTTCTATCCCCTCACTAACTATGGTTCCCTGTGTACCAACCACCAGACACGGTCCTGAAACACAAAGCAAAGAGTAAGCCCTGAGCACCAGCAGGTGTAGTCCCAACAAAATGGTTTCTTTTTTCTTCTACATAGTATGCCACCACCAGCAGTGTCAGAGAACGATTAAAATTTAAGAATAACTTTTGTATATTTACTTTTTTGGCCACAACTGGCAATGCTCAGGGGTTGCTCCTCTCTCTGGACTCAGGAATTACTCCTGGCAGTGTCAGGCTTATGAAATGCCAGGGGTCAACCTGGGTTGATCGCATGCAAGGCAAATGCCCTACACACTGTAGTATTGCTCCAGCCCCTTAAGGATGCTTTTTGTATTTCATAGTAGCAACAGTGACATAACTACCTCCCTAGAACAGACAGTTACTAAGAAATAAAACATCAGAAGAAAAGGCCAACAATGAAAATAAGCAAAACATGTCACAGGCATTTAGGGTGAACTTTGTAAAAGCAATATAACTGACTCTTAATTAAGAAACTGCTGATGTCTTTTTCAGACTAAGGGAGATTTTAAAAATCATGTCAATTCACAACGTTTTAGCTATGAGAAAGGCAAGTATCCAAAAGATTGAAGTAACTTCCATTTTTTAAAGGGAAATGAATAGCATAGAGAAAAGCACATGATCCAGCAAAACAGCAACTGTGGCTACTCTTATTTCTAGCAACCCTACCTGAAGGAATTTTTTCTTCAGTTATACTTCATACAATGAAACAATGGTTGTAGAAAACTATCATTTCTGGAATAGGAGGAAATTGTAAAGAATCTAAACTTCTAAAGGTGCCCCCCCCAAAACAATGGGAAATGCAAAGCAATAAAAAGCTTTACTAATTCAAAATAGGAGAGCTTTCAAATTAAATTGTTAAAAAACAAAATAAAGTTCACAATAGTATACATAATGTGTGAATGTTTGTTTTTTAAAATGGGATTGAAATTAGAGTCTGTCTTTATATTTGCTTAGATATATATCATTAAGAGAGAATGAACAGGTAATGGGGAAAATTGCAGGGAAACATTCAATTATATAATTTTTCAGATGTCTTGTGTTTTGAATTATGGTGTCCTGCATAATCAGACACTCAGACACATACACATACACAGACACAAACACTCAGATACATACACATAAACACAAATAAAACAGAAGCAAGAACATGAACTAAACTGACTCTTTAATTCAGTAATGATCTTGAAATGACTGATTCTGGTTGCCTTTGGAAAAATAATAAAAATTTAAAAACTGTGTTCACATCTGGAATCAACTGATAAAAAATAGTTGCTGCTAAGAAATAATGGGAGGGGCTAAAGCAATAGTATAGCCAGTAGGGCATTTGCCTTGCATGCAGCCAATCAGGATTTAGCTTCCAATATCCCATATGGTATAATGCCAAAGGTAATTCTTGCGTGAAGAGCCAGGAGTAACCCCTGAGAATTTTTGTGCATGGCCCCAAAATAACAACAATAAAAAAAAATGAAGGAAGAAAAGATGGCAGGGAGGGACGGAGGGATAGAGGGAGGGTGGGAGGGAGGGAGGGAGGGAGGGGAGAAGGAAGAAAGGAAGGAAGGAAGGAAGGAAGGAGGGAAGGAAGGAAGGAAGGAAGGAAGGAAGGAAGAGAGATCCATGAAACAAGAACTAAGGTCATTTGACTTGTAGCTCAAGGTTCCTACAAGCACATCACAAAGTCTCCTTTGCCAGGCAATCAACCAAACTACAATTCAACTCAAATAAATTTATTGACTTAACATACTGAACAAGTTTCCCAGACAGTATGGAACAGTGAGTTTCATATATATAGGTCTTGACTGAAGTATTTCATAGATCAAAGGAGCACACAAATATATACTTAAAACAGACAACAATTCTTAGTATTGTTTATACCATAAGCAAGAAAAAGTAGCATGAACAGCACCCCAAAGTAAACAATATAGAAAGAACATTTTTCCTACAGAAAAATTTTTATACATAGTTAAGCATAAAGAGTAGTGCTTATTTTTTTAAAAAATTAAACCATAATAAACTCAATCAGAACATGTTACCTGCTAATGTTTCATCCCTTCTCATGAGACTTCTATAAAATAGAACCAAGTCAACTCTATAAATGATACCCAAGATCACCAGACATACAATGGCCATTGATATAAAAACAGTTATGATCATTCCTCTTGTGAAGACGTGATCTGAGATATCATGCATAACTTTAGAAAAGAAAAAAATAAGATTAATTAATCAAAAAACACTTTTTCATCATCGCAATGCATTTGTTAACTTTTACCTTAACCCTTATCTAGCATCCATTAAGTTACTCTGCATTTCTTCCTTTATCTTGAAGTCATTATCTTTCTACTCTAATGTTTAAATAACAAAATGCACACAAAGGTACTCAGAAACATGCACTGGAATCATAGTAATGGAGCTTATTCCAAGCTGTGGAAATGAGATCTCTAGGCTAAAGCATTACCATGAAATGCAGAGAGAGTCAAACTCAACTAGCAAGTAGATGGAGGTGATTGTCAGGAGAATAAGCACTAAATTGAGATTGTCTGGAGTGCACACCTAACTCCTACATTTATTTTGTATGGTAAAGAAAGTCACTAAAGTCTTTAACTCTCAGTACCTTATATAATAACTATTCTGATTATTACATGTGCTAGAATGATATCCTTAGAACATGGGCCATAAATGAGTTGCACAAGTTTGTATTCTCACTAAAGCCCCACACACTCACTCCTCTCTTCTCTCTTATCCTAACTTTATCTCATATTTAGGCAGCAAATGCAAAGCCTAAGAATGAGTAATTGAGCAGTGAAAACTCAAAATGTAACTTGCTGATGCTAGAGAAAGTCATTTCTGAACAGTTAACAGGTCCAAGGACCTGAGTTTTATTGCTTTGGATGAAGGAAATGGATGACTCTGGAATGCTCTGTCCTGTGGGTGCTATTAAAAAGAGACATTGTTCATCAGAGTCAACTCTCAATTTGCCAGATACAGACACTGGTCCAAAGAAAATGGTCTTTATCAATCTCTTTTGAGTAAAGACCATCCTTACTCCAACCCTTAACTGGTGGGCTGGAGACAGCAATGATACAAGAACCATTGGCCTCATCCCCAACTTCAAACTTTCCTTGGGTTACTCTGGGTGTGCAAGAGTGGTCGTTTTGCCTCCCTGACAGTGCTCACTTCAAAGCAGCTATATCCCTGGGGTTTTGGTTTCTATAGGGAATTTGAATACTCCAGAGAATGAAGGAGTAAACTTTAAGCTTTCGTTCTGTTTGGAACACTAATAGACATCAATTCTGCCATTGAATGTTCATAATGTAGGTGGATCCATTTCACCACTCAGGAACTTGGCTCCTGAGGTATGACACGAAGAAGTTAGAACTTGGAAAGGTCTCTTGGGAGCAACATTCAAAGTTTCCAAAAACCTCAAGGAAAAAGAAAAAGAAAAACCTTTCCATTACCTTTTTTCTTCAAGATGAAGGTTCTTTTCTCATGGATCGACGAGTTAGCCAAATGACATGTATATGTAGTGTTTATATTTTTTTCATTAATTTTTTCAATTATTAATATTCTTGAAACATAATTTATGTTCATTTTAACTCTGAAAAAAGGAAAATAATTTAGCAAAAGGCAACATTAACCATGATATAAATTCTTATCTCAATGACAATAGCTTGATTAACTCCATCAAATCTTCCCAACCTGCATGAAGCTGCAACAAGCCTTCTCATCCTTTGGCCCTCTCAGGGCCAACAGAACCAGCTCTGTCTGAGACTAGGTGAGGACAGTGATATAAACTTCCCCAAATTTAAAGGCAATGAGGCTCCGTTGAAAAATCCAAGAAGGTATTCCTGTCTCAATTAGTTTTTCTATTTTTCCTGTCCTATCTTACTCAGCATTCCTCCCATGGCCGTGTCTACTACCTGTGACATTAACTGTCACCACAAATCCTTTAGCATAGATGAAAGTGTATATCGAGCTTGACTCTGCAATCCTAAAGATAAACGCTTATTTTGCTGAGCATTTCAATGATTTCTTTCTAGGCCCACTAGTTTCAGTCACACAGGAAATACTCATAAACTGTTCAGTGAGTGTCAGGAAGTGAAACACCCAGTAGTCTCAGCTTCTCCTTTTCATCTTAACCAATGAGGTTTTCCTGTCGCTTATGCAAGACAAGCCCTCAAGACTTGGGCCAACCAGCAATGCCATAGTACTCACATACCTGCCTCTCCTATAGCTCTGCAGGTATCACTAGCAACTGGAAAAAAGTCCCCACTCTAGTCTCAAATGGTCTTAAACCAAGGTTAGAACATATTCATGTACAGAAGCAACCATTCAAGACATGGCCACCATCTAATTATTAGAGAAATCTCAAGAAGTTAAGACACTGAGACCACTGCGAACTTAAAAGCTTGGGAACTTAAAAGCTTGTGTCCCTAATCCTACATCCACCAAAGCACTCCTCACAATAATCAAGAGTTGGGGATAAGTAAAATGCCAGAGATAACTGAACGAAGAAGACCATATAAAGGATATATGCAAAAAATGTTATAAATGAAAACCTGTATATGTAAAAATAAGAAAGTGTTATGCTTAGTGAAGTATGCTAGATGGAGAGAGGCAAATAATAGATTATTTCCGTCATATGTGGTACACTAAAAAAATAAATTGAGACAGAGCAATTTCCTTACAAGGTCATTTGCCTTACAGGTAGATGACCTGCATTCAATACTCAAAACCACATATAGTTCCCCAAGCACCACTGGGAGTGATCCCTGAGCTCAGAGCCAAGAGTAAGCCCTGAGAACATCTGGGTGTAATTCACCCTCCCCCCTCTAAATAAATAAAACAAAAGAAAATTTAGACTATTAAACAAAATTGTTGCTTACCAAAAGGGAAAGGGCTTATTTAATTGGGTAAAAGAGAGCAGCTGCCTAGTAAAAGATGGGATTAGACTTTTACTGAAAATTATGTATGACGTATGAATATTGATTTAAAATAATGTAAATCTCAAACTATATATCATAACTAATGTTACTTCAATAAAATCTTCTCTATTACTGATGTAGTGTTAAAATATTATTTCAATTTGTAAAAGACATATGCACATAAATAAAAAGACCTTCCTCCACCACTGTTTAGTTAACACCATCTATTTTATTTTATTTTATTTGAGGTGTTTCTTCCGGAAAGAAAGAAACACCTCAAATAAAATAAAATAAAATAAAATAAGAGAAGAGAAGAGAACAGCGCAGAGTTTCCTGCCCCCACGCCTGGCTGTCCTCGCTGGGGCCCCTTGGAGGGGAGCGGGTTGAGCTTTCCTCCCCGCCCCGACCAGGGCTCCGGCAGCCTAAGACCTCCAGGATCAGCCACCACCATGCTGAGACAACTCTCCGCACACCTGAAGGTACCGGCAGAGGAACAAAGGCAAGCAGGTCCCGGGGCTGAGATCTCCAAGCTTACTCGGATCTGGGCTGAGCATCCTCCACCCAGATCCTCCGAATTCCAGTAGGTGGGGGTCACACCCACCAACTGGCCCCCTGGCACCGTGTAATCCCATCAATGGCCAAGACTCAGAGACTATAAAAACCAGCTCCCAGAACCACACGGCTGCATTCGTGGCCACGCGACATCTTATTATGACATCTTATTATCTCATTCCTACTTTGGACAAACTGGCAGGCTACCGAATGTAACCTGCCCACATGGCAGAGTCTGGCAAACTCCCCGTGGCGTACCCAATATGCCAAATACCAGTAACGATGATGGGTCTCATTCTCCTAAAAAGCCTTGAATATGAGCACTTTCTTAAAAATCTCAGGGCTAGGATGAAGGAGACATTACAGGGGCCTGCTCGAGGCAATCGACGAATAACAGGATGGTCATGATTCGTGATTCGTGAGGTGTTTATTTGGGAGGGGGGCATCTGGCAGTGCTCAGGACTTACTCCTAACTCTGTGCTCAGGGATCACTCCTGGTGGGGCTCAGAGGACCATATGGGATGCTGGGGATCGAACATAAGTCAGTCATATGTAAGGCAAGGTGTCCTACACACAGTGATATCTCTCCAGGCCTTAAACACCATTTCTAATAATTTTGATGAGTTGATCTTCTCTACTTCTGAAATGTAGCAAGAGGTCACTGGAGTGCAGGACTCCGGTGGTGGAGAGATAATGAGAATAATATACACTGGCATAATAAGCAATTTAGCTGAATCCACAGTCGCTGAGTGCTAGTCATGTTCCTAAACCTGGCAAAAAGATAAGCTTCTTGTAAAATGGTAACTAAGAATATCTTTTACATATGATAAGCAAAAGAACTCAAAAAAATTCATCTGTCTAAGATGATCAACATTATAGTATCTACCATAATTCACTAGAACTTTATGGTTTACCCATTAAAGTTAGAGTAATGATTCAAAGTAATTCAGAAAAGTTTAAGTGACCATATGTTTTAAATGTTTTGTTTAAATAAGTCTGGTGATTACTCAATGTAATGATATATCATTTAAATTGAAATATTAACATCATTCAAAAATTTTTGCACTGCTTCATAATATATCTAGCTGTTGCCCCACTTTTATTGTATTTATAACTTTAATTAATGATCTCTGGTGAGAAAATGATTCAATAAGTGTTATGTTTAATGTCAATCTACAAACATCAAAAGACACAGTGCAGGATACTAGTAATTATTTCCTTGAGATGTAATAATCACATCTAACAGTCTCTGGAGATTCTTCCATATTTGATATAATTTCTCAAGCTCACCTTTAAGAAAAACAAATGTCTTAAAAACAAACTGAGAGGAAGGGGTTTGGGGATTATTGGGAGAAGAAGGTTGGTACACTGGTGTTGGAATTATGTACATGAGAAACCACCATTAATAGTATAATAAGCCACAGAACTTCAATCAATAAAAGAAATTAAAAGAAACTATAATCTAAAGATCAGGAGGCAATAGATATGTTAACAAATTTTATACCCATCACAGGAATCCCACCTCCAATCCTGGGTGGATTATAGATTATATAACTGTGACCATAGGCACCCAACAAGGAGAAACAAAGACTATTCAGAAAAAATTAATGCAAACAAACACCATTCATAAAACACGCACACAAATGCACATCTTTCTTTAAATGGGAATTTTTTTTGATATTTTTGGCATTGTATCACTGTATCACTGTCATCGAGTTGTTCATCAATTTCCTTGAACAGGCACCAGTAACATCTCCATCATCCTAGCCCTGAGATTTTAGAAAGTGCCACATTTGAAGCTCTTTCAGAGTCAGGAGAATGAGACCCATCATTGTAACTGGTTTTTGGCATATTCAGTACACCACGGGGAGTTTGCCAGACTCTGCCGTGTGGGCAGGATACTTTTGGTAGCCTGCCAGGTTCTGCAGAGTAAGAACTAGATAATAAGATGTCTTCCGGGAGCAGGGTTTTAAGTCTCTGGGTATTGGCTGTTGATGGGATTACACAGCGCCAGGGGCAGTTGGTGGGTGTAACACCTATATACTGGAAGATGGGGGATCTGGGTGGAGGAGGCTCTAGTCCCAATCCGAGCAGCTTGGAGATCTATGGCCTGGGTCCCGCACACCTGGGTTCCTCTGCCGGTTCCTTCATGCGAGAGGCTCACCCAAACATGTGGAGAGTGGTCTTAAGCCTGGCTGTGACTGGAACCAGAGGTCTCCGACTGCTGAGGCTCTGCTCAGGGTGGGGAGGGAAACTCAACCCACCCTCTTCCAAGGGGCCCCGGTGAGGACAGCCAGGCATGGAGGCAGGAGACTCTGTGCTGTTCTCTTCCGGGGGCTGGGTTTTATAATCTCTGGGTCTTGGCAGATATTTTTGGCATTTATAAAAATTTTTAGAAATAACTATTTCAAAAATCAGAAATTGGAAAGGTATATTTTCTTGGAATACAGATTTGAAGAACTAGTAGGGTATTTTTGCACTGCAAAAATTTGTCTTTGGTGCAATCAGGATCCTTTGGGGAGTGGTACAGATAATATTCTCTGCAACCTAGACACCTAACTTATCTCACTGCAATGTGTGGGCAACAAAATTCAGCATACCTCCTAACATAAGAGGCCCACATAATATACACATTCCTGTCCCCTGACCTAGCATTTTCTCTGACCTCTTAGTAAAAATAAAGCACTAAATATACTTTTCAAAATCCAGAAACATGTGTCCTAGATAATTTCTTTTTATAAACTTTTAAGTAAAATTCACATTTCTGACTGGCCAATAGATACTTCTGTAATTAATGCAAAGTGGTTCAGCAACCTAGTTTTTTTTTACAGCAAGACAATTTCTGTGCACCTATCAACTTACAATATGAAAAAATATGAGAGTATATACAATTTAATAGTAATTATAACTTAAATCAAACATTTAATCTTAGTATCATGTGCATACTACATGATATTAATCTAACATGTAACAATATATATTATAAATCACATGTACATACGTAGGTTTTGATATCTTTTCATGCACATTAGAATAATTTTCATATTCCCAATAAAACGTAGCAATACGATCCACAAAAGCAGAGCAGTTGAGCTGTACATCTTTTCCTAGGTAAGAATTAACAACCATTGTTCTGACTTTAGAAACTTAGATTTCCCAAAGGTAAAAAATTAATGTTGTCAACATCTGTTAACCTAACATATACTGCTGAACTTCATAAAAACTAAATATGTCTTGTAAATGTTAGCAAAAACTGTGAAATAGAAAAATTAGGCAACAATTATAAGTAATAACCTTCAGTTCAGCTGAATAGGTGCATATCTTTTAACAGAGTAATATATAAGGAAACTTAGAGATCTATAGGGAACAATTAATGAAAGCTAAAAACAATATAACTAAAAGAAAAACAAAGTTCATTAAGTAAAGAAGAACATGTCATTCATGCAATATCAAAGAAGAAATGAAAAGAACAAATGACACATGAGACAACTAGAACACCACAAGATGACAGATAGACTATATCCTAATTTATTATATATAGGTGAACAAACATTATATATAAATTGAACATCAGAAAAGAGAACAAATGTATTCAGTTTAGGCAGGTCATATATCAAGTACTAGGACAAAGAATTGTGCAAAGTAACAGGAAGTAAAAATGACTAAGAATTCTGATCCCAAACAAAATAAGTTGGTGTGCCCATCTAATAATTGTGAAGTACACAATGAATAAAGAAGTAGTATCATGATGATAAGAAAATTTCATAATGATGGGTTAATTAATTAGATATTGGTGTATATGTTTATGAAACATCACATATATAAAACAAAAATTGACAGAGCTGAATCACTATCAATAGAAACAGAGTAACCATCATATTTGGAGATAATAACAGATAATAATAATAATAATGTCAACAACAGAGGAGTACACGAAACATTATTAAAGATAGTAACAGTCTAAACTTAGCATAATTTACATTTAAAATGATAAACCAAAATACATTTATTCCAGATGTACTGGAAATAAATAAATCAGATACATCCAAGTACTCCATGTACTGTCTCTCAAGCAAGTTATTGAATTTCTCAAAAGACTAAAGTAATACTGATTGGCCCATGCTGGCACAAGATTGAGTTTTAAAAATAGAATGGTAACTAAAAAATACTACAATATTTTGGAAATTAAGAAACAGATAATTCAAGAAGAAGAAATCACAGGAAACTTTTGGAAAATGTTTTGAACTGAATAAGATGAGTGATATATCTAATACTGAAAACAGTTAATAGCTATTAAAGAAAAACTTAAGGGTTTAAAACGAACACATCACAAAGAAAAAAAGTTCTAACATTAAACATTAAAATTAGACAACAACTTAGAAAAAGAGGAGAAAATTAACGCCAAAACGAGGGAGAGGGAATAAATAAGATATATGCAGAAATCAGTTTTTTAAAAGCAGAAATCAGTAACAATTCAATTAGGATAAATACAGTTAATGAAAATTTCAGAAATCAATAAAAATTAAAAGTGAAAAAACAAAAATACAAATGAAAAAACATAAGCGCTACAATTGAGTGTAAGTGATTATATAAAAGACTATTGAAAGAACTGGGACCAAAAGCGTGGGCTATGAAAATTAGCTACAGTGACTTGAATCTCAGCTCTGCCACACGCCAAGGCAATGACTTAACAAATACAATTCTGTTTTCGAAGCTGGGGTTATTTACTCCATAAAGTGTAATAATATATCTCAGAGCTACTTGGAGACATTGATTCAATACTCTATTTCAATAACCCTATGTAATGTCTCATTTAACATCTGTGGATTTTTTTCTATTTTAGAATAAATTACTTAATTGAACATGTTGGTTTAAGGTGTGGTCAATTTAGTTCATTGATTTAAAGTGAGTTGATTAATCAAAAACCATACACTAAGTTTAAACCAATTTTTTCATATCATGCTCACAGAATTAATTTTTATGTTTAAAAAATAGTCAGAGACATTATTAGGAAATCCACAAGTGACCAAAACTCTAGTTTACAAAAGCACAGGCTGTTCTTTAATCATTTGAACAGACTTTAATTAATCTGAAAAATGACAACAGTAGAATAGTGACAGGCTTTTTCTGATTTTGCAGTGTTTTTCACTAAATGTAGAATGTGTTTTTGATACCATATCAATTAATGATCAATCATATTTAGCATTGAATTTGTTCATTAAACCACCATCAGTAAATGGTAGATATATACAAGATAAACATACCTAATTCCACTTCAATAATCTCAATTTCTGGCCCAGGAAGAAACGAACTAGAAATACTTTGTTCTAAAAGAGATAAAAGAAAAATTTACATTACACTTTATATGAGTGTTACATTTACTTGTATTTTCATTAACCCATAGGGTTCCCCAAGCCCACCAGGAGTGATCCCTGAGTGTAGAGCCAGGAGTGAGCCCTGAGCACCACTGGGGTGTGACCCCCAAAACAAAAATAAAGCAACAACAACAAAAACAAAATAAATAATGGTAGCAGCTAATACCACTTTTCTGCTTCCATTTCCATCACATAGCTCGAGAAAGCACATTGAATTTGGATTTTGCTTCAATACTGAGGCACCTGCTCATTCAGGGACCCATCAGTCCTGCAGGTCCTATAGGATGCACAGGGAAGTAGCTTTATGAGCAGACTTTATTCCCTACATTTTCGCTTTTGGTTACTCAGTCTTTTTAAACTCAAAGTCCAGATTCACCCTCAGTTAAAACAGGAGGAACCCCTCAACTTTGTGCCCTGGATAGTTTGTTTCCCTCACTCTAGTCCTGACTTGCAGGTGCGCCTGCACCTGTAAACTTAGTTCAACTTAACCTTCTCAGTGACTGACCCTAACTGGAGGTGTATTTTCTCTCCTTCAGCCCCCTCTGATAATACATAGGAAGTCAACCATCACCCAATCACCTCCCACCACGGCTTTCATAGAAATTAGCACCACCAGTAACTAGAAAAAAGGCCAGCAACTACAGCCAGATATTTCAACTGCTCAGAATAAAGCTGTTAGTTCTCTTGTCAGTAGAGGCAACTTCCTTCCTGACAATGATGCCAGTCAGTATCGAGGGCAGTCCTTGAGCTTCTCAGCAGTCAAATCCCAGAGAGAGGAGTAAAACCAGGAGATCTTCCACATACCCCAGCCTCCAAAAGTCTCCTAGAGAGTAGAGTGCTGTGGGCGGAAGGGCAGAGAAGGGAGCAGAGGAACATGTGGACACTGAGAGAAGAATGAACCTAATATAGTGGAAGTACGGGGCGAGCCAGAGCTGATCCCTTGAGATGGAGCAACTCTGAATGAGGCGGCAACTGCAGGAAGTCAGGCAGGACATCCCCAGAAAAGAACCAAATCCTGCATCTGACGGCAATGATGAAAATGATTTAACTCAAGGACAAATGGGCAGAACATCATGTTAGCAAACGGACTGAACTGTCACTGATTATATTTTTTAATCCTTTCCTATTTTTCAGGAACTTTTGTGGGAGTTCTGAAGCTAGAGATATTTTAAGAGAGTCTTGTAGAAGGATGTTTTGTAAAAGGATGCCATCTCCTCATCAAGGATTTGCATTTAGATTATTCTGGATTTTGTAGGTGTGTCCATATATTCACAAGAATCTGCATCAGGGAAAACTGGGTGAGTCAGAACTGGAGAAGGTGATACCATGAAAGAAGCAAAAATGAGAAGAGAAACTTGAAATACTCCATGACTGCTTTCAAAGATGGAGGAACTGGCATAAGCAGGTATGCAAGAGACCCCTAGAAGCTGCACAACACTAGGACATAGTCCTTTAGAACTTCCAGAAGAAAACTAAATACTGTCAAAAGCTTGACTTTAGTCAAGTGAGTCCATCTCAGACTTCTGATCTCCAGAAACATATAATGATAAATTGAGGTTATTTAAAGACACTAAGAGGTAATTTCTAAATTAGCTGTACATAGCATATAGTTATGTAACTGGATGATGGAATCAAAGATGTAATAAACATTTCCATCATTCAGAAGCAAATGATCTCTAATAACTGTTAGCCTATGACTTGTTGGACGAGTCATCACTGGAGATTCAGTTTCCTGGATAACAGAAATCAATGTCTAGGATGGAAAGTCACCTACTTTCTAATCTTCCAGTACAAAAAGGACATATCAATTTAAGAAAATAGACTTTATCTGCTTATTTTCTAAAGGCAAATAAAAAGCAGTGGGCACACACACATATACTGTACTGCCTGTCATGGCTATGGTCCTCAGCACTGTTGAGGAGGTGAGATATCCCTTGGTACCACAAGGTGAAGCATTGTATCCTTAGGTTCTTGCATGGACCTGCTAGGCCAGAGGAATACTGGGGTCCTCTAAATACAGCTTGGAAGGCCAAAAAAATTTTTACATATATATGTATATATATATATATATATATATATATCTCATATAATATATCACTGTCACTGTCCTCCCGTTGTTTATCGATTTGCTCGAGCGGGCCCAGTAACATTGTGAGACTTGTTACTGTGTTTGGCATATCGAATATGTCATGGGTAGCTTGCCAGGCTTTGCTGTGTGGGCGAGATACTCTCGGTAGCTTGCCAGGCTCTCCGAGAGGGGCAGAGGAATCGAACTCGGGTCAGCCATGTTGGCTGTGTGCAAGGCAAACGCCCTACCCGCTGTGCTATCACTCCAGCCCAATATAGAATATATATATATAAATATATATATATTAGTGCACAAGGCTCAACCCTTAACAACATATTTGTAATCTCTTATGGAAGGGCTTAACGGCAATATAACAATCTTCATACATTCTCCTCTAAGAAAGTTTTTGGAACATTTTCAGCAGTTTATTAATAACAAACAATCAAAATAAATTATTTTGGTTCTGCTTTGGGGAAGGGATTGGGGTTCGGGATGGAAACATCCAAAATATGGTGATGGGAAAGTATAATAGTGGAGGGATTGGTATTCGAATATTAAATGTAATCAAATATTGTGAACTACTTTACGAAACTAAAATTAAAGAAAAGGTAAATAGCAATAAAATCATCCCAACCTTTAGTTAATCTGTTACACATAGTTAAGTTTCAAAATAAAACTGGCTAATGGTCATCATCCTGAGTACACACTTTGCTATACTGTCATGCCTGTTGCCTATGCTCTTTTTCTTCCAATCAAAGACTTTCCCAGAAACTCTTCCTTCATGTCCTTCTCTTAAAGCTCTCAAGATCTATCTTTCCTCTTTCTACATGCCTGTGCCCTTACGATGTCCCAAGTAACAACAGCTGTACATACTACATTACTTCCAAATTGTCTCCAAATTGCCTCATCTGACCATAATCACATTCCTTGAAAACAGTATTCTAGGGGCTGGAGCAACCGCACAGCGTGTAGGGCATTTGCCTTGCATGCGGCCCACCTGGGTTTGATTCCCAGCATCCCATATGGTTCCCTGAGCACTGCCAAGAGTAATTCCTGAGTGCATGGGCCGGGAGTAACCCCTGTGCATCACTGGGTGTGGCCCAAAAAAGCAAAAAAAGAAAAAAAGAAAGAAAAGAAAAGAAAATAGTATTTTATTGCTCTATTTTATATTTTCTTGCTTCCCTATCTCCCAATGTTCAGTGTAGTTTACTGAATATAAACATACTCTCCAAATACTGGATAAGTGAAAGCATATGCATAACAGTAAAAGGTTCCACTACTTGCTCAAATTACAAATAAAAGAACTGACTCATGGGACACTCACCACTGTAAATTTTCCTTTAGTGACCAAAAGAAAGTCTTTTTTTTTATCATTATGCAAGGTGCCAAAATGATTCCAAATGTTGTGTACTGAGTTGCATCTGGCTTCCTTTAGTGTTTCAGAGGAATGAGGATATTTTTTAAACTTTGCTAAAGTATATTTGTTTCTTCCAGAATATAAAATTTCTCTTACCGTTATTTATTTTCATGTTAATGGTCTTGGTAATATTAAATAGTTTTCCATTGTAAAGGAGGGAATAAATGCACGTATAATAGCCACCATCTCCAAACTCTGCTTCATTCTTTATAAAGGAATCACCACTCTTACTTATTTCACAATCCTAATTTTTCAGAAAAGCAAGTCAAAGATTTTAAGTAAAAGCAACACTATAGTATAGTAATTTAAACTTCTTACTTTATAGATCTTTAGGAAAAAATAGAAACAAAAATTAGCCACACTTGTTTCTACCATAACAATGAAATACAGTCCTATGTTTTTAATATCGTATTTTTATGAGACATGTTGGTAATTAGAATATAGAAGGACAACATCCACCTTTATAATTTTTTTTAACTTTGGTCTTAAAGATAGAGGCAAAAAGGGAAGGTAGGAGAAGGATAGAAAAAGAAAAGGAAGGATGAGAAGAAGAGGGAAGAGGAGAAAGAGGGATTTATAAACAATAAGGACTTGGTCAAACTTTCCACAAAACTACTTCATAACTCATTCAGTTTAATCTTATGTACTACAATTAACCATTATGGAGTGAATAGTGGGTGTGGAGTCAAACTGGATTAGATAATTGAGTACCAAGAAGAGGTCCCAATTCTCTTAAGTCCCTCACCAGAAAATAATGAATTGATTATAAAAAAAATCAAGAATTTTTCATCCATAAGCAAAGTCAATTGAGTCTCTATCATAAATTTCTATATGTGTCACAAAAATTAACAATAATAAAATTAAGCTTTAATTTTTTATTTTGTTTGGAGTCCACACCCTGCTATGATCAGTGCTTACTCATATAGATCTGTTCTTCTTTGATCAAGGCACCAGTTTTCCATAGGTCCCAGAGCAATTCAAGAACCCAATGTTAATGTGGGAACTGAATTACTAACCTGTAAATACCGAAGAAAGAGAACCTACTCCTACAGCACTTGACCTCAAAGCTGTCAAAGTTGGTGGCAACTGAAACTGGCCCAGAGAATGATTAAAGTAGATTTTGGAAACACGTGCATCAGTGAAGTGTTTTTGTCTAAATAAATATTTTATAAACCCCAACTTCGTCCAACTTACATTAAATACCAAGAACTCAAGTCTTTATTTCCAATCAAGTATTTACAAATTTATCTGCCTCGCTCACCCTTCTCAGATCATTATCTCAGAACTGACTCAGGTGTTTGGAAAACATATTACATAAGAGCTTTCCTCTCCTCAAAAATCTCAAGTAAACAGTAAACAGCAAAAGGTACAAACATAAGTTTCTGGGAAGTTGTTACCAGTTATTTCAACTTTCCCAAGTTCTTCTGCTCAGACTACCTCTCATAGTTTTTCAATGTCCATGATAGCAGTTTCCAGATTCATGCCCCACAGTAGTGTTATAATTTGTGTTGCTGCATGTGTTTGTATGTATATGATCGCATTTTTATATATATATATACAATCACTTATGGATATATACACATTTACTCATGTGTCTCATATGAGCATATCATCTTCATTGAACTGTATGCATTGTACTCATTTCTACCATAACAATGAAATACAGTCCCATGCTTTTAATACTATTGTCTTTATAAAAACATGCTTAGAAATAGACTATAGACGGGTAGTAGCCATTTTGATAATTTCTTTTAAGTTTTATCTTATATGTAAAGAAGAAAGAAGCAAGGAGGAAGGGTGGGTAAAGATGAAAAGAAAAGGAAGAATGAGAAGGAGTTCTTATAACACAAGTAAAAGAGTAACTAAAGAAAACAAAGACAACAAAAACAATTCACAAAAGAGGTAACCATAAGATGCAAAAAACACATAAAACAATACTAAAAAAAAAAAACTGAGTCCTAGCAGCTTCCACCAAGACCCAACTAAAACTTCAAAATTCTCCAACCTCTTCAGCTCCACAACTGAAACTTACCAAGCTACCAAGCAGCCAAACCAACGCAGATAGCTACCTCTCAGGGCTGATCCAACTCTGGTGTCATCTCAGAATGGGAATGGGGGTAGGCAGATTCTTCCCCTTCCTCCTGGAGAGGCTCAGCAGCCTCCATCCACACCTGATATTCTCCGACATATGAATAGCCCAGTTCCACAACTTCTGGAGCTTACAGCCACATTTGTGGCTTCACAACTCCTCCAAATTTTACAGTATTGAAAACCCCGTAAGAGCACAGAAAATTTGATGGAAAAGTTGTGTAGAAGCACACCAAGCTCAATAAGCAAAAACAATTACAAAGAAGGATCAACCAGCACCAACCAGCTCAGTGAGACCTCAGATAATGATTTCAGTAACATCATTGTGAGATAAAACAAAGTTCACAAATTGATTATTATCATAATTCCATTTGCCATTTGGTTCTAACAGGAAATAGGAAGCAAACTTGTTTATGCCTGATAGGGGGATAGTCTGGGGGTTGTGGGGTGGGAAACTGGGTACACTGGTGGAAAGAATCACAGTATGGTGAGATTAGTGATGGAATACTGAATTCCTGAAACAACTGTACTATGAACAACTTTGTTAATCGTGGTGTAATAATAATAATAATAATTCACAGCTGTCACTGTCCTCCTGTTGTTCATCGATTTGCTCGACCGGGCCCAGTAACGTCTCCATTGTGACAATTGTTACTGTGCTTGGCATATCGAATACGTCACGGGAGAGCTTGCCAGGCTTTGCCGTGCAGGCAAGGTACTCTTGGTGGCTTGCCGGGCTCTCCAAGAGGGGCGGAGGAATCTAACTCGGGTCGGCCATGTTGGCTGCATGCAGGGCAAATGCCCTACCCGTTGTGCTATTGCTCCAGCCCAATAATAATAATAATAATAATAATAATAATAATAATAGAAAAGAAATTCACTGAATCAGGAATTTTGTATGTCATGTTTAGAATACATATATAATATAAAATTGTAATTATATGTGGCAGGAGTAAATGAAAGTCCTTAAACTAGGAGTAGGAATTCTAAAAGTTAAATATTTTTAATAGTATGGGTAAATGAAGGAAGAACAAGAGAGAGAAATCATTATCATTTTTGAGTACTAACTTGGGTCAGGAATTGTGTGGTATCCATCCTGAGTAGAAGCCCATCAAATTAGGCATTAGAGGGACCCTCGCTCAGACAGAAATTAAGCTGAGCTGTATGGAGTTATAGTTTGTCAACATACTGTCTAAAGCATCCCATGGCAAACAGATCTCCACTTTAAAGTTCTGTCTTTTGCCAAAATACAAAGACAGTCTACAGAATGGGAAAGGATATTCACCGAATACACATCTGACAAGGGGTTGATATCCAGGATATACAAAATACTGGTTAAACTCCACAAGAAGAAAACATCCAACCCCATCCAAAAATGGGGCAATGAAATGAACAGAAACTTTCTCAAAGAAGAAATCCGAATGGCAAAAAAGCACATGAGAAAATGCTCTACATCATTAATCATCAGGGAGATGCAGATCAAAACCACAATGAGATACCATCTCACACCTCAGAGACTGGCCCACATCAAAAAGAACAAAAGCAACCGATGCTGGCGTGGATGTGGCGAGAAAGGGACACTCCTTCACTGTTGGTGGGAATGTCCACTGGTTCAGCCCTTCTGGAAAACAGTATGGACGATTCTCAAAAAATTAGAAATTGAGCTCCCATTTGACCCAGCAATACCACTCCTGGGAATATATCCCAGAGAGGCAAAAATGTATAGTCGAAGTGACATCTGCACTTGTTTGTTCATTGCAGCCCTCTTTACAATAGCCAGAAACTGGAAGAAACCTGAATGCCCAAGAACAGATGACTGGTTAAAGAAACTTTGGTACATCTACACAATGGAGTACTATGTAGCTCTTAGAAAAGATGAAGTCATGAAATTTACATACAAGTGGTACAATATGGAAAGTATCATGCTAAGCGAAATGAGTCAGAAAGAGAGGGATAGACATAGAAAGATTGCATTCATCTGGGGGATATAAAGTAACAAAGTATGAGATTAATACCCAAGAATAGCTGAGATCAGCACCAGGAGGATTACTCCATAACTTAGAGGCCAGCCGGGTATCCTAGAGGAAAGGGCTATTCAGATAGAGAAGGGAGCACCAAATAAAGGATGTTTGGAGGATCCTCCCAGGAGGGGAGATGCATGTCGAAAGTAGACTATGGACTGAACATGTTTGCCACTCAATGCCTCTTTTGCAGACCAAAACACCCAAAAGGAGAGAGAGAACACAGGGGATTGCCCTGCCACAGAGACGGGGGGATGGGGGGATGGGGGTGGGAGGGATATTATCCATGGTGGTGGAAAATGGGCACTGGTGGAGGGATGGGTATCTGATCATTGTATAATTGAAACCAAAGCACAAAAAATTGTAAATCTACAACTTTAAAAAAAATAAAATAAAATAAAGGGAAAAAAAAAAAAAGTTCTGTCTTTTGTTTTTTTAAATGAAGTTGTAGATAAAAGTCATTTATGAGTTGTTACCTTATACAATGATGTGCTGTTGATGAGGCTCTTATTGTACTCAAATATTTCATCACATTTTATTGATAAAAATTCTCCAACTTCCACAGATTGAGTATGTACTACTTCTTCAGAATAACATCTGTGATTGCTTCTTCTGCAGACATTTAATTTCCATTTGCAAGTATAATTACTATGAGATAAATATTATTAAAATATTTTAAAGTTAGTATAGACCCTTTACAAATTCTACATTTTAGTAATGAGCCCTGTGAAATGTGTTACCATGCTCATTCAGTGATTCCCAAACCCTGCTCTTTCCTTTTTTTGGTTCAATGCAGCAGAAAATTTAACAACCTTCATGAGAGCAAAAGGCCATGGTAAAAGATAAAAGCTTGAGCAGAACTAAACACCCCTTTAACCCCCTGTCCCCACCTCCAACCCCTGCACACACAATTTATTTGCTCTTTCTTTTCTCTCCATAAAGCTGTTAATTTAAATTATTCTTCATATCAACATGATCAGGGAACTATTCTTTTTATCTCTATCCTATTGTGAACCTCCATTGTTTCTTAGCTTGATATGATCTAATTTTAGGATCATAAGTCTTTAAAGGTTACATATATAGAACACACTGATTTTAAAAAGTAATTCAATTTCTTTCTCATTCCTGGAGTTCCTCTGTGTAAAAACATATGATACAGGAGTAAAATCACTGAAGACTCCACTGAGGTTCATGTCCTGGTAAGTTGTGTCTATACTTTTTATGTATTTAATGGATTATGACTCAATCTCAAGATCTTTAATCTATGCAAATTAACTTTTATGAAATCAGTTCTTTTTTTTTTTTTGCATATAGTTACCCGGTTTTGTCAGCACTATTTGTTGAAGAGATTTTCCTTGTTCTTATTTCATGCAGCCAGATTCTTTGTCATAGATTAACTGACAATATATCAGGGATTTTATCCTGGCATCTCACTTCTGCTCATTTGGCCTGAAAGTCCATCTTTATTCTAGAAACTTAAAGTCAGAAACAGCACTTCCTCCAATCTTTTTCCTTAGACTATCTTTGGTTATTTGGAAAATTTTGTGATTTCATACAAATTTTAGAGAATTTGTTCCAAGTCATTGAGATACTGATGGGGATTACAACAAATAAATAAATGAGACTATATTGAATTGATTTTGCATGGTTTTGCACATTTTTGAATGACAAAAGAAAAGTGCTGAAATAAAGACATTCTATTGAATGGCGAAAAATATTTGCACACTGGTCATTAAAGATTTTATGTATCTAAACTATATATGCATATATTTTATGTATTTTTATATATTTTATATATTTTTATGTATCTAAACTATACAGCATTCAAAAAGCTCAAAAACAGCAAAAGTAATCTTATCCCCAAATATGGAAAGGATCTGGAGTCTTCCCCAATAAAGCATATAGATGGCCATTCATATTCCCATATGAAAGTGTTTACTGTCATCAAAGAAATGCGAATTAAAATAACAATAAGCTATCATCTATCTCACACAAATAAGAATAGCTTATGTCAAAAAAAACTGAAAAAAAATTCACAGTAATGGCAGAGATGTGGTGAAAAAAGAACCCTCATTCATTATTGGTGGGAATGTTGCCTGGTTCAACCTCTATGGAAAATAGTCAACTTTTTTTTTAACTCTATCTTTATATTTTTATTTTATTTTTTAAGATTTTATTATTGAATCACTCTGAGATAACTCTTACAAAATTGTACATGATTAGGTTTCAGTCACACAGAAAAGAGTCAAGTTTTATTTTTAACTCAGAAAAAGTAAGAATAGGACTCCCATATGACCTTTGTTCACTGACCTAAGTTCACTAATCCATGTTCACTATGTTCACAAAAGTGTCATTAAAATACATACATCCACAATTCATATATACCATGCATACAAAGATACTTTAAAAACTATGTATATAATATTACAAATGTCTGAGGTAAAAACTGTATCAAGAGCATTTTCACTAAAAATTTATCCCAGTTACTTCAAACAAAATAGAACTGAGGTCAGTGACAATCATTGGCATATTCAGTTAGTTTTGTCATTTTCCAGAACCTGTGATTCTTGATACCTTTGATAAAGATCTAGCAGCAGATTCCAAGGTCATATCAAAGCTCTGTTTGTGCTCCCTCTCTGTTTCCCTGTTTGTAGGCTTGTGATCACTTGTCAAATACCCACAGCCTTCACTAGCACTCATACCTATTACTCCACAACCCTGACAGAGGGATATGTCCACACCAATTTCAGTCCCTCCATCAAGCCTGAGGCTAATACCCATACTGTCTCTACCTTCTTTTGTTCCATGTTCATAACTTTAGAAGGGAAAAACACTTATTTAATTTGAGCCTAAAGCTCTAAACAACAGAACAGTTGAATTTAAAATCAATTTCATTCAATCTTCACTTAAACCTGGCAAAGATCCTCTAAAAGTAAAACATATGAAGGCAATCGTTTGTGAAAATCACTAAGAAAATAAACAGAGTAGTACTTAATTGTTCAACAATGAAGCATTTTTTTCTTCACTGTAGGAAGAGTTGGTCAGGGAAAAATATGTGTCTGACCTCTCCAAATAATTACTTAGACTTGCTTGATTAATTAAGCAAGTTTAAGAATGCAATGAAATATACTAATACAAAGAGAGGGTATACTCACCCCATGCAGAATTTGTAACTTCCACTGTCATCTAGCTCAAGTGGCCAAAACTCTAAACCATAGTTGTGTGAAACAATTCTGGGTGAACTGCTGGAGGTTATCTCAACAAATCCAAGTGAGTCACTGTTTTTATACCATTTCACAGTGCCATTTTTATTCTGAGATTTAGGAAGGCAACATTTCAGAAAGAAATATTCTCCTTCAACTACATTAATTTTATAACGTGAAATGCAAAATCCTGCAAAAGATTATCATCAGTGTAAAAGAGTAAAACAAAAGCAATAAAAAAAATCAGTTTTCTTTCCCATGAGGTGAAGAAGTCTAGTTTGTAATAAAGCCCTGAGAAATTTCATCATCTCAGTCTTGCAGGTTCTCAAATTTTAGGTTGAATCTTTCTAGACTAAGAGACAGGAAGTCAATCTGTTGACCACTAAGACCCTTTCAAAAATATAAATAAGACAAACTTCAAATAGATTTTATTTTTAAGAAGTACCAGAATATAACCTCTCCTAACTAAAGCATAGATGAGGCAGTTACATGAGTATTGTGTAACTGTTGCCATACCTACCCCCAAAAACCCCTAGCTGAGTCTCTATGAAAAACAGATCTCAGAGCTTTTCATTTTAACCATAAGAAGTCTTACCTAGCTTGCTCTCAATGTATTCCTCTAACTGCCTTTCCCCATGCAGGCCAGGCATGGATATAATTTCAGGTGATCTTCTGCTCACGTCTACCCTCCAGGTGTTCTCTACTCCCCTGCTCTCTGCTACACCTCTTTCCTTCCACTCTTTCTCAAGTAATCCGTGTCTGTGTGTTACACGGACTGTCATTCCTCCCTTCTGCATTTGTGATGGTTTTTTGACAGTTATGGGAAGATATCAACTGACTTGACCATATCCTGTGCTCCAGATACTCCAACGCACCCTTCAAGCACACATTTAAAGTAAGAATACTTAAATTGAATAGAGCATTTCTCTGAGAGCATGAAGAAAATGCCTCTCTCTAGTTAGACTTTAGTTCTCACACCAACAGCCTGCCTTTATAATTCAGTGTCATCAACCACACGATAAAGTGGAAGTGACTCAAATGGTAGAAACCTTTGGGAAGCTTGGATCTACCTCAAAGCATAAGAATTAGTGGGATCGACTTGTATTTGGTGGTCACTATAGATGCTCTATTTTATATTTCAATATGTCAACATAGAAGGTGTGATACTTGTACATGTGGATTTTGGTTTTAATGACACCCATAAGGGAAGCAGGTCATTAACAGCTTATCTTCCTGGTTTGGGGGGACACAATATATAATATACACATAATATAAGTAAGCTATTGGGGTTTATTTCTATGCTTGGATTACTATGTCTGATAAGAACCCTTGATGTGCCATGTACAGAGATTTGTTCTTTGCTTCATGTTCCATAATGCCGATTATATTAACATTTAACACCAATCCTGATATTGGTGTTAAATATCAGGATTGTTTCTATAATGTTTGAACAATCTTAAGGCAGCTTCTATATACTCCATTACTCATGCTATGATAGAAAAGTGTATTCAATTCTTTTTGGGTATAGCTAAGCTTCATGTAAAGAAACCTGACATTAAATATTCTCCTAGAAGTTTGACAGGTGAAGTTCCCTGTTTCTGGGCAACAAGTGACTCCAATGTCCTAACTGTTTACTTTTTCTGGCTTGGCAGTTAGTGAACCTTAAAGTGAGTGGTCTACAACACCCAAAAGGAAAGAGAAAATAGAGGGGAATGCCCTGCCATAGAGGCAGGGTGGGATGGGGGGGGAGGGATACTGGGATCTGTGGTGGTGGGAAATGGGCACTGGTGGAGGGATGGGTATTTGATCATTGCATAATTGAAACCCAAGCACAAAATTTGTAAGTCTACAACTGTATCTCATGGTGTCTCACTAATAAAAATTAATAAATAATTTAATTAACACATATAGTAAGTGGGATTTTTATAATATCTACCTTTCTAGATCTTCTATAAAGATTGAAGTATATGTGAAAAACTTTTAGCATGATACCCAACAAGTGTGGAACATTTTATTAACCTTGCTGATACATATAGTATTATTATTCTGACTACATGCAGTGCCAAATATATTTAATAAAATATTATAATTTTATAATTAAAAAAAATAAAATAAATGAGTGGTCTTCTAAGAACAGATGCTTCCATCCTGGCTTGAATAGAGTATAAGAATTTTGCTGTGTCAAAAACCTCTCGACTTGTGAATCTGGATACTGGTGGCTGTTGCCATTTAATTTTAACTAGGTAAAATGGATTCTCCATGTGGAATAATGTTGATTTCTGTTTGGAGTAAACCCGTCATGGGAAACTCTTAAAAAAAACTATAAGAAGTCCCTGGAAACAACAGCTTTACAAACAGACCAGTTTTTAAGCCAATAAAGCAAGTAATTGTAATTACCTACCTGAGGTGCCACTAAACATCAATATCCAAAGTGTCAGGAGTATTTCTCTATAACCCATCTTTGGATTCTGTTTTAAGTTATTTTGCTGGAAAATGGAATAAGAAAAATTCAGTCAAAATTTCCAAACAAAAGAGTACTATCTTATGAAATTTTTGAAAAAACCTTCCAACATATTTTTTGAATATTTTTAAGAAGCCCAGCATGCTTCCAATACTTAACTCTGCTACCTCAGCATATTTCTTTTCTTAACAAATTGTCACTGTCACTGTCCTCCCGTTGTTCATCTATTTGCTCGAGTGGGCCCAGTAACATTGTGAGACTTATTGTTACTGTGTTCGGCATATCGAGTACATCACAGGTAGCTTGCCAGGCTTTGCCATGAGGGTGAGATACTCTGCAGTTTGCCAGGCTGTCCGAGCGGGGCAGAGGATTCAAACAAACTGATCAAGAAATATTTATATTCCTCAGTATAGTAATCAATTCCTGACATACTCTTCACCTATGCAGAATTAAATGCAAGCAATTCATTTCAGTAACAAGAAGAAATATTTAATAATTCAGTTTTTTTTACCTGCCCTTCTTCCTCCCATCTGCTATTTCATCACCTCCTCTCCTCCCTTCTCTTCCTCTCCTTTCCCTCCTCTCTTTCCGCTCCCCTCCCCTCCTCTCATTTCCCACATCCAAAGAATATCAGGGGCTAGTCCTTGCTCTGTGGTGCTCAGGGAATCATATGCTGTGCTAGAAATCAAACTGGAGGTCAGACATATGCAAGGTAGGTGCTTATCCTCTATATGGCCTCTCTAGCCCCAATAATTTGATTGAATTCAATTTTGTATAAAAAAATTACCTGATGTGTTTTAGGCTTGGTTTGCTATATCTTGCTTCTAAAGTCAACAATTATTATTTTTAGAAAAACTTTCAAGGCAAGCAGTCTATGACAAATTGAGATAAATAGAGAGATAAATTGAGATTTGAAATAAATTGAGATCGAGGTGTTCTTCTCAAATAGGAGTATGTATGCTGTGTATGTGTATGTTTCAGCTGATTTTGTTTTCTCATCATACCAAAATGATTATCACAATCTTCTCCTGTGGGTTGTTTCTAACATTCTTCAGAATATAAGTGCTCTAAGTTAGGAACCAAGTCTACTGCACTCACCACTCTACCTCTGAAACCCAAAGCAATGCTGTGCACTGAGCACTCTCCCACCACTGCCCATGGGGAGTGTGTGGACATGTGTTTGCACTCCTGAGTCTGTATGAGTCAATGTCAAGAAATGGAGAGACTAAGTGAGAGTTTCCTACACTCCAAATACCTACTCTCCAGTGAAATCAAATTGGTGTTGAATATCCATCCTACATCCACCCACCTTTTGTGTTAAAAATGACACATTTTCAGGTTGGACTTGAGGAGCAGATGCAATAGTACTCAAAGACTGAGACCAATTATTTCACTCACAATCCCTTGTCCCTTCTTCCCCGCACACCTAGCTCCCCTGGATGGAGGGAGCACACCCTGATGGAAGGATTCTTCTTCACATTGACAAGCTGTGCAACCTTCGGCAAGTTATGAAAAGTTTCTGATCCTGTTTTCTCATTAACAAAATGGATTCATCTCCAAAATTATAATTGAGAAACCAAGCAGCCAGCTCATGTTTAGGAAGATTTCCTGGGTTCATAGCAACCTGTCAGTTCCAAATAATTTGCACCTATTGCTACTTTCACCCAAGACTGTTTAATGCCTGTCTCTGAATGCTGTTTAATGGCTAAGCCACCAAACTAACTGCATCTCCTTAAGAATAAAGTCAGCAAGCATGTAATGTAGTTTCTGAAAGATAATCGTCAGTAAAGTCAAAGGGCATATGTATATGTATATGTAAACAATTGGAAAAATCCAACTCTTTATAGCCAAGTTAGAATACTTATCTGGTTTGAGATAATCCCTCCACCCCAGCCCACTATATATCATACACACACACACTCACACACAAACACACACACACGCAGTCATCATCTCAATAATAATGTTATTGTTAATTCTTACCTGGGGCAGATGAGAAGCACTATCTCCTCATGTCAGGGTTGACAGGCCCTTTCAAAGGGCACTTTTGGCTTTTAATTTTTTAAGGGACCTACTAAGAGATAGAATTAATTTTTTCTTTTCTTTCAGTGAAGCAAAATAGTTTTATATAAATAAAATCCCTTAGAGAAGTGTGAAAGGAGGGAGAAAAAGAGACAGAATGTTCAAGAAAGAACACAGAATTCTCCAAAAGAAAAAATTAAGCATTTTTAATTAATTAGAAAATTAATCATGCTTAAGTTTTTTCTTTTGATTTTTAAAAAGTACATATCCAAGGCAGGAAATTCATAAAATGAAGGCTGAAAAGAAGAAAAGTAATCTCAATCTCAATACTATATTAGCATGTATCTTTTAAATATATTTCAATTCAGGTAATACTTAGTTTTATACCCTCTATTTTCCACTTAACAAATGAGCATTTTTCTGAGTCATGACAATTTTTTTTAGCATAACTTTAATTGTCACAGAATACTCCTGCATATGAATATAAGTTATAATCATGGATTCTAATTTTAAGAGGTATTTTATTATAAAAAGAGGAAAATCTACAACCTTCGTCACAAGAAAAAGCAGTGTGGCTCAGTGGCTGACCTATGGTGGATTTCAATGCTCATTCTACTCTTTATCTCTTGAATACTATTGGGTAATTCACTTAGTCTTTCAGAGTTTTCTCTTTCATATCCATAAGAGGGAATAATACTACTACTATGCTACCACACACAGAGCTTCTTTGAAGGTTATGTGAATTGTTAAGTGTCCAGTGGTGAATAACAAACGCCACTCAAGGATAGTCACTTATCTCCGATTCTTTTTCTTTTTTAATTTTTATTTGTGAAACACCATGAGGTACAGTTGTAGACTTACTAATTTTTGTGCTTGGGTTTCAATTATAAAGGCCCTCCCGTTGATCATCTATTTGCTCGAGCGGGCCCAGTAATGTCTCCATTGGAGACTTTGTTGTTACTGTTTGCCATATCGAATACGTCAGTCACGGGGAGCTTGCCAGGCTCTGCCGTGCGGGCGAGATACTCTCGGTAGCTTGCCGGGCTCTCTGAGAGGGGCAGAGGAATCGAACTCGGGTCGGCCATGTTGGCTGTGTGCAAGGCAAACGCCCTACAGCTGTGCTATCGCTCCAGCCCATGGGTTTCAATTACACAATGATCAAATGCCCATCCCTCCACCAGTGCCCATTTTCCACCACCACGGGTCCCAGTATCCCTCCCACCCCCCCACCCCACCCCCCCCATCCCACCCTGTCTCTGTGGCAGAGCATTCCATTTTGTTCTCTCTCTCCTTTTGGGT